CAATTGCGTTTTTCAGAGCCGGCAATATTCTCATACCGAACGACAACTATTGTCGTTTTGAGGATTGGTTGATGCCAATTTTGGATAAGTGCGAGTCTGAGCAAGTCAGTAACAATTATTCGTGGACTCCGTCGAAGCTTATCAGCAGATTAGGAGCCGAGATTAATGACGCACGATCAATTTGCTTTTGGGCATATCGCAATCGTATTCCCATTTTTTGCCCCGCACTAACCGACGGTTCAATTGGTGACATGCTGTATTTTCATTCTTATCGGAGAGGCGGATTGAAACTGGACATAGTAGAGGTTGGTAAGCGACATTTGCAAATGCGTTTTAGTGGGACTGTATAAAAATTGGCAAAAAATGTGTGTGAAGAAGTATTATTAATTTACCAACTCTTCCTGTCAACGTAACTTTATGAAAATTGGACTTGAAAAGTTAATATCTGTGACATGCTTCAAAAAAAAAAAAAATTACAGGATTTGCGTCATCTCAATACAATGGCCGTGAAATCTGTTCGTACGGGTGTGCTGATTCTCGGCGGTGGCGTCGTTAAGCACCACATCAATAATGCAAATTTGATGAGAAATGGTTCTGATTTTACTGTCTACGTGAACACTGGTCAGGTAAATTTACTCGCTGTATCATTTTGATTTTATAAAGTGAAGTTTTTTTGAAGATACATTAAGATTTAGTGGAAGATCAGTTAGTGGAGAAAGAACTTCGTAGAATAGCCAAAGAACTGCTGAAATCTGTTGACTGCACTGAAAAGCGAAAAATTGCCTTAGAAATGTTAGTCCGAACAAGTTGAAGCGGAAAACATGCAGTGGATACCAATTTTGGGATGCCATTTTTGTGGAACCACTGATAAGCGAGCATGCGAAATGATTTTCAGGAGTTTGATGGAAGTGATTCCGGGGCACGGCCAGATGAAGCTGTGAGTTGGGGAAAAATCAAGGCTGACTGTAAAGCAGTAAAAGTGTGTGCCGATGCTTCACTTGTGTTTCCGCTGCTGGTTGCGAAGACATTCGCAGCTCATGTTCGAAAGAAAAAACCCCTGATGAACGATGTACAAAGCACCAGAGAGCAGAGTCGAAACGCTGAGCCAACGTCTAAAATAGAACAAAAACGGATCTGAGCATAGTTTTTGCTTATCAAATAGGAGTAAATCGTTGGATTTTACTGGGATTATTATGAATAGTGCAAGAATACATTCGGAAAAGTGATGCGGCCGGCACAGAGTCATTCCTGTCTGAAGAATAGTGCGAAAATGAAATTCAAAAGCGCAGAATTCACGTAAATTGTTTAACTAAGTCGAACAAAAGGCCGCAAAATCAAGTCAAGGGGACATGGTATTTGGCCAACTAAGCAAAAAATTTAGCAAAGCGTAAAAAGTCTAAACAAAATGCATCGAAAGTGACTTCAAAAGCGTGTTGAATTGCGTCACAAGACAAGCAGCTGGCTCCACAGCTGCTAAATTCAGCATTAAGTTGTTAGAACTCCGTATCTAATTGTAAAGGCCGAAAAAAATTGGGGTTAGATACAGATGGGTGGAAGTTGAGGGTTTTCGCC